GAGCCGGGTTTGATCCGAACCTTCAATGGATCGACCTTGACTGGCGGATCGTCGCCCAAGTCTTCACGGAACACATCAATGTGTTTGGCCAAGAAGTCGTGCAGCCGCGTCGCTTCAGCGGGTGCAAGCCCGCGCGCCTCCGCCTCGGCTGCCTTGGCCGTCAGAATGGCTTGAACGGCGCCCTGTTTCGTGCGGCGGCGCCCCGCTTCGTCCTCAACGGAGGCTTTGGGATAAACCTCCGGAGTAGCACACTCCATCCCGTCGTCGGGGTCAAGCTCCGGCGGATTCAGCTTCTCCGCCATCAGGCGCTTGACATTCGCCATGCCGGACAGTTCATTCGTCGGCACGGACGAAACGTCCCATTCTTCCTTCTTCTTCCTTGCTCCGACAAGGAGGTCTTCAACGCTGAAGCCCAGTAACTCCATGACTGGGCGACTCACGATGAGTTCGGTTGCAGTCGACGCGTCGTCGACCCAGGCCTTCAGACCGCGCAACACAAGCGGTCCACACGTCGTGTCCAGCGTCACGCAGTTGAACTTGACGCTGCCCGTCATGACAACTGGTTTGGCGTCACTGCCATATGGGTACGCCAAATGCGGCACGCTATGGGAGACGGTCCCAACTTTGACACCGGCTGCGTCCAACGCATCCATGACGCCGCGCGTGACAACGGTCACGTCCGAACCAGAGTCCAAGAGCACATCGTCCACGCGGACGATATTCTCCAAGAGCACACCGCGCTCTGTCTTCTGGCGCTGCGGCTGGTTGACCAGCACCTTGATACCGTTCTTCCAGCACTTGACTTGCGCTGCCAGCAACGTTTCCTGCGTGTTTCCTGCAATCAAGAGCAAGTGGGAGTGTCCTGAAGACGAAACCCCAACAGACATGTATGTGCAGCAAGACAACGCGCACCCACATGTGTCTGTGTCCGATGCCGATGTTGTTGTGGGGGGGGCAGTGCAATGGCTGGGCCATCAAGATGATCAACCAACCTCCCAAGTCTCCTGACCTCAACAGTTTGGACCTCGGTTTTTTCAACGCAATCCAGTTCCTGCAACACACCAAGGAATGCAAGACAGTTGAAGACCTCATTCGTGTAGTGTGTTGTTCGTTTGTGGAGCTTCGAGCGGCGACGTTGGCGAAGACGTTTGGGACTTTACAACAAGTGATGAAGGCGTGTGTTGATGCTGGAGCAATGTGTTCAAGGTTCCAAGAAGCAAGAATGATGCCGATATGTCGGAACGGGATTTGATCAACGTTCACCTGGAACAAGAAGAACGCATGGACGATCTGTGTGGATTACTAGTCTTGCAGTGCAGATATTTACTACTAACGTGATCGACCAGTGATGGGCCGATTTTTTTCTTTTTTCTTTCGTGAATTCCTCGTCAAGTATTTATCCTAAGGCGATGCGGTGGACCTCGCCTGAAAGAGCTCGTCAAGATCTGTCACATACGTGTACCTAAATCAATGTATTTAGACAGTTCACGATGACGTAAATAATTTCGCAAGTTGCAAAATTTTCATTGATGACCAGTGATGTGCCGAATTTTGTACTTGAAGTAAGTATGGATTAGGGTTGTGTAAAAAACAGGCGAGCAGACTGGAATTTATAAAATGATAAAGGTATATTATATTTGAACAGGAATAAGATATTGCGGAACTGTACTATTAATAGTACTGCATATTCTCTCTTATTCGGACACTAAACCGGGCAATGTTCAGCAGGTGGGTCAAATACCCACATGTAGGGATCGGTGCCTAGACAGCACACATGAAATCCTTTCAAGAGGGACGAGGAAAGAACCAAACGTAGATGAGCGGTACAGTATGTAGGACGTACTAGTAGATGAGCGAGGATAACGTAGGCGAGCGGTGGAATAGTGCCGAACGTAAACCAGCCAACAAGTACATCCTATCCCTGTGTTAATCGACCCTCGTCAAAGCGGCCATGTTTGTACGTCGGCACGACGCACACTACAGTGTACTATTACCGTACAGCAAATGGGGATGGTGCAAGATCACAAACTGCACGCATTACACTTACTACAGTACAGTACTGTACACAGGGTTATTGATATGCGTAAACATTGG